GCACAATGCTGATGCAATGTCAGAATCCAGAGGCCCATAGGCGAGAGAAGATTCATATAACATACCCTCTTTCCTATCCTCAGCATGAGTGTTGCATGGGCAATGCTTGTGAAGCAAGTACAGAATTAATCTGTTTGTCTGTGTGTTTGTTGACTATTATAATGACTGTCCAGTGGTTAATGATTAGGTCCAAGAGTTTCAAAAGTAATATGATTTGGGAGCTCAACTTGAGACACCTTATAAGGGCACCCCTTTGAAAATCTGCCCCTTTAAGGCATCTTAAGTTGGGCACCCAAAAACTGAAATGCTCAAAAATCGCTGGTCACTTTTGAAAAATTGGCCTCTACGATTACAGTAGTTAAATATAAATGAAAACACACTCATTTTGATATATGTTTTCAAGCTAGTATATATCTGATTACCGGAAAGCTTTAGGAGTGCTGCTTCTGTCCCCTTTAAATCTAAGAGGAAAATTTCACCCACAGTCCAACTGGAAGGCTCCAATAGGTTGAATCAGGACGTGCTGTGACAGTAAAACTTTTAGCACTGAATAGATCCAACTTTAGGCCTGCTTGGACCCTGCTGCTGATGAAGTCAATGTGAGCTGTGCCACTGGCTTGGCTGGAACATGGACAGAACATTGTCTTTTGAATCTTGGACAGAAAATCCTAGCTAAAGAGACAGAACCCTAGTTTGCATTGCAATTTAGTCCTGCAAAAAACAAACAAACCAGTACAGTTAAAAATAGTTGTGGGCAGTGTTCCCTCTATTTTTTTACTTCCATGTGTGGAATGAATTTTGTTATGTGCACCAATATGGAGGTGATATGTGACACATCATCTTCATCTTGGTGCACGTAACAAAACTCATGTGGTGGGGTGGGGCCGAGGGGCTCAGAGCGTGGGAGGGGGCTTAGGGCTGGGGCAGAGGGTCGGATGCAGGGGGTGAGGGCTCCAGCTAGGTGTGAAGGCTCTGGGGTGGGGCTGGGGATGAGGGGGTTGCATGAGGGGGCTCAGGGCTGTGGCAGAGGATTGGGGATCGGGGGGGTGCAGGCTCTGGGGTGGGGATGAGGGGTTTGGGGTGCGGGGTCTGGAGTGGGGCCGGGGATGAGGGGTTTGTGGTACAGGCTTCCCTAGGGCTGAGTTGGGGAGAGAGGACCCCTCCCAGCCCTCTCTCGCCGCAGCAGCTCAGGGCAGGGGGAGAGGCGCCTCTCCCCGGCTACAGCACCTCCAGCGGGCCTGGGCTGGGCCAAGGGAGGGGCTCCTCCCCCCGGACGCGGCAAGTCTGGGGCAGGTCCATGTTGAGGCTGGGGGAGGGGCACCTTTCCCCGCCGCAACAGGTCCATGCTGAGGGAGAAGCCTCTCTCCCCGCCTCAGCCATGAGTCCCTGCGTGGGGCTTAATAGGCAGCTGCGCAGTCGCTCAGCATAGAGGGAACCTAGGTTGTTGCTGAGTATTGTTTAAAAAGAGCTGCCTCTCCCAGGACAAGGTTGAAATAAAAACCACTGAGCCGTAGTACTGTCTCAGTGCCTTTACTGAACCACCATTTACTGGTAGTAGTTTATATTTTGAAAGAAGTACTTATTAGTTGTATCACACCTCAGAAATAGGGTGCATCATTCTCATGCATTTTTTTGTGCCACATAAAAGTACATATTTCCTGGGCCAAATGCTACCCTTGGTTAGATGTCCATTTGGCAGAAAACTACCAAATAGACATTTGTGTACCTAATACTGGAGGTCTTTTCCGCAGCTCCCATTGGCCGGGAATGGTGAACTGCGGCCATTGGGAGCTGCGGGGGGCCATGCCTGTGGACGGTCAACGTAAACAAAATGTCTCACGGCCTGCCAGTAGATTACTCTGATGGGCCGCGTGCCCAAGGTTGCCAACCCCTGACGTAGGCCATAGTAAATGCAAAGGGGAAGGAGCCAATGGCAAATTTCCAATGACCTTGGGAGCAGGACTTGTCTGCAGCACACAAGGGTCCTCAAAACTGCTGCATTAGAGTCGAATTGTGCCTATGAAGCAGTGGTCCATGTTGGGAAGAAGCAAAGCCACACTGCCCCTGGTGGAGCTCTAATAGAGATTGTGCCTCAGAGAAGCATGATGCATCTTGGAGCATTGTAGAGAACAAGGGGAAGGTGCCTGTCGCATCACACATAGAAGTTTGCACTCCCTTCTGCTATGGCTTCAACTTCTTCCTGCCCCTGAGGCATTATGAGAGAGCATTCTCTGTACACAGGAGAGCTCAAGGACTGCTGTTGTGCCTAGCCCGTGCACTAGGGATATAAGGAATGGGAAGGCTTCTTGCATCCTTCCCATGCCTTGTGCACCTGTCCAAGGTCCAGGCACAGTCTGGCTCTAAATTTGGACCCAGCCTTTGAGTAACTTCCTGCTTACCTCTTGAAATTCCCATTGACGTCCGTGGATGTTCCAGGCACTGAATGATGGCAGGAGCAGGCCCAATTTATGTAGGAAATAAACTTACCATGGAAAGAGGTATGTGATGAGAGAAGTCCACAGAGCAGCACATTCCAAGTGTAGCTTAACAGACATTGAGAGACAATGTTGATAGATTTGGTCTTGTGGCCCTAACTCAGGCAAAACACCCATTAATTTCAGCTGGTGCTTTGCCCGAGTTAGGACTGCAGGATAAGGCATTGAAAATCCACTTCAAATTATTTTTAAAAAGGTTCTTATCTTGCGAACGTTGCTCGAGTCCCCTCTTTTTTTCAAGTCTCACTGAAGGTAAGGTTTGCTTGTCAAGTTGCACTAGTGACTGCGTGTAGATTTCCTAACCACCAAATTAATAATCCGGGGGTATGCATGATTTCATGAATGGGTGTGTATTTTCTCATGATTATCATTTCATTCAATTCAGTGTGCTGTCTATTCTGTTTTGGGGTCTTTTGTTTGCAGTAATGTTTTCATTTCAGAAAATATGATGATGAAAATTAAAGGTCCAAGTACCAGGACAGACAACAAAATGTGTCCCCCACTGGGTACAGGATAAGGAGACTCCCTGGCACAGTTGATTGAAAGTTAGAGGAGGAAGAGTCTGGAGTTAGGATTTTCGGAGAGGAAAGTACGAAGGGAAAATAATTTCCCCCCTCCTTCCATACCCTGGGACTCTTAGTTTCAAGTAATTAACTGCAGGCCATGCTTCTGTTGAAGTGAATGGGAATTTTTTCAGGAGCCAGCATGCTCTTTACTTAGCGCATGGAACTGAAAGCTGGAGACCTTTGTTCATTGGCTTTGCCGGAGACTTGCTGTGCAATCCTGGGAAAGTCCGTTCAACTCTCCGTGCCACAGTTTCTTCATCTGTCAAATGGAGATGCTGCTGCTTCCCCACCTTTAAAGATCATTTTGAGATCTACAGATGAAAAGTGCTTCTTTTAATGCAGGGCCTTATTAAGTTCTAAGAGTAATGAATGGAGTGGTAAGTAAAATTAGAATGATAGTTTTCACCCTGAAACAGTGGAGTATTTTCATTCTGTTTAGCTATGGAAGGGTTTTTGTGTACCCACGTTCCTTCTCTACCAATGGATTCCACTTCATAAGAAACTGAATACACTTAATTATTGCAACTTTTAAAATACTTAATTTCCTAAAAATGATGTCCTCTGTTTTGAATCAGCTGAAGCAATGGAAAGTGCAGTTACCATCAAAGTAATGGAATACATGAGTTTGTTTGTTAAACTTCTTTAAAGATGTTCTTCATTTTTAGGAAGTCTAAGGAGATTCCAGAAAGCTTCTAAACCAAATGTCTGCGATTGCGGAGTCTGTGTGCAGTTTTGTGCATCAAAGCACATGTAATCTGGCTTGTGCACCTAAACTACTGCCCTTTATCCAGATAAATACTTTGGAGGTTAGTCGCATACAGCTAATAACAGGCTGGAGAACGTCCTGCCGCCGCTGAGCTCTTTTTAGAGGTCCTTCATTACTGCAGCTTCTTTTTCGTTGTTTGCTGCTGCGGTTCTGAATCAGTAATTTTAAGACCACTTCACACTTCCCTAAAGCGAGCAAGGGAAGAGAAAGAAGAATTGGAGCATTTTGTACTGGTTGTACAGTCCTAGGCCATATCAGTGAGAAACATGTGACTGTGTAATTTGCCCGTGCAGTTCTTCTGCGGGTTGTTAGCAATTATTTACACTGTACACATTCCCATTAAAAGCCATTTCTGCCCAGCCTTCTCCATTTCCACCTGGATTTAATGAAGTTCACTTTCTCTTGGAAATTATTCTTCTAGACTTCTTAGGCACATGGGGTGAAACCCTGGCCCCATTGAAGCTAATGGCAAAATTCCCATTGGCTTCAATGGGGCCAGAATTTCACCTGTTGACTGTGAGGGAGCTGCAGATGCAGCATGCTACACCCAATAGGGGGAAGAGGATTCCTCTCTCTCTCTGTCATTGTTAGGCTTTGAAGGGGCCCTGGCTGGTCATCCTTGCTCTTAAGGCTGGTAGCTGCAATACAGGGCATCAGGAGTTAAGGTTAATATGTGAAGGACAAAGCAGGGGTTCTCTATCTGATGCATCAGATTTGTGGATCCCTTGGGTGGAGAGAGCATTAGTCCCTTTCACACTAATGTAAGAAGCTACAGTCTTGTAGTCTTACAATTACTCTCTTCTGAAAGAAGTCTCTGTTTTGTTTTTGGTTTCTTTTGTTTCTAGCAGCAACTTGGTGGTGTTCAATGGAAACACGCTGCAGGGCAGGAAGGAACTGTAAGACTTTATTACTGTAACTACGAGGAGCTCTGTAAGCCTCGAAAATAAATAGTGTCCATGTAAAAATACATTGTAAGCGTTAACTGCTAAAGGATTAGTTTCAACAGTGCTTCCTTGCTGTGTGTTAGAAATGTGTCTGTCTCATATGGTAATTTTCTGTTTAAATGAAAAATCTGTAACATTTACTGCAAGGATCCTTTCTAGAATGCAAACTATTCTAACTCTTAGAAGAGATAAACTGATGGATGCTTTTACCTTTTTGTCTTCTTTCTAGGCAGCACAAATAGTCCTGATTTCACTGTTTGAACTGAACACTCCTGAGTTTACCATGTTACTTGGTGCCTTGCCAAAAACATTCCAAGATGGTGCTACCAAGCTCCTACACAACCACCTCAAGAACTCCAGTAACACTAGTGTGGTGAGATGCTTATGCAGCTAATGTCCATAGAAAAGAGGAGAGTTGCAGAAGACAACAATTCACTGAGGAACAGCTGTTTCAGATGTTCAGTAGCATGCCTGTAGTCCTACTAGCAGCATAATGCCACAATAGATTTAATGAAGTTCACTTTCTCTTGGAAATGAAATGTCTGTTTGACATTTTGTTGAAGTGACCATTAAAACAACTCTGCCAGCTCTGTTCAGGTTTGATCTATGTGCAGCCAGCACAGAGACTAAGTGACTTAGGAGCATATGAAAGTCAACGGGACTTGTGCTCCTAAGTTACTGAGCTGCTTTTGAAAATCCCACTGGAAGTATTTATCTTGAGCTTTTAGCTAAGATCAAGGGCCTGATCCTGCAAACTCTCTGTGCTCAGCACTGCCATTGAAATCCGTTTAATATCTTACGTTCTCCATCAGGGAACTAGAACTTTGATCCAGTAGGTCTTTTCCATCTCTAACCAGTGCTCCACTACTTTGATTCTACATGAAGCCTTTAAATAGTTTTATTCTATTGAAAGAAAAAGGAGGGAATTTTTTGGTAAATCTCAAAATTCTTTTTTTTCCTCAGTTCAGCATTTATCAGAATAGTTTCTGCTGCAATTCCTCTTGACTGTAACAACTTATTTGTACGGAAATCCTGTGTAATTCAGATAGCGTCAAGTCCTGCAGTCTTTGCACATCTATTACGTGCAGTGGGAGTCTTGCCTGAGCAAGAACTGCAGGATCAGACCCACAGGGAAAAGGCGCTGCACACCTCTGTGCTCTTGGTGGTGTTCTCTAGTGCCTTGCACCTTGTGTGTATAATGCTACCCAATCAGAATGGAAACATTTTTTACGCATGTTGCAATGGTGTAAATGACTCTGCTTTTGTTTACACCATCACTTAATCTTATTGAAATCCTTTATTGGAGATAACACAGAGCGTAATAGCACAAACTAAAATCGGAATGGGACTAATAGTGTCCTGATTTTCACCCATCAAGTTTGCGTAGTGTAAATGAAAGCAGAATTTGGGCCCATTTTATTTTTGTCTCCGTCTGTTGTGTATACTAACATTTCCCTAATCCTCTTTTTCCTGCTTCTGTATTAGGGTTCTCCTAGCAATACTATTGGTCGGACACCTTCACGGCATTCTAGCAGCAGGACCAGCCCCTTAACTTCCCCTACCAACTGTTCCCATGGTGGACTGTCTCCAAGGTAATGCAGCAGTTTAATTAAAGTACTTACAGCGTCTTCAAGAGTTTCAATATTAAATGTGCGTCTCTAAAATGTGACTCTTCAAATAAGATGATTAAAACCAAGAATATTATATGGTAGATTTGTTTAATTCAACAGAGTTTGACAAATGCATACACAAAGCATAATAATACATGGTGAGTATTTGACTTTTATGTATGTGATAGTGGAACTGGAACATAAGTCTTAATATGTACTTAAAACGGTGCATTTTCCTTCACAACCATCCCCTCCACAGAATCACACATCTGTGTTCAAAGTTCAAGTCTAATAGCTAGAGATAGATTCAAACCGCACTATTTGAATCTGGGTCCTAGTTTGGTTTTCAAACACTCTCAAAGAGTTGGTGTGTTTAGGTTCAGGATTTTGGTTTGAACCCATCTCTACTAGGACAGCGCTTGCTGCTTGAACAGTATGCCTGGCTATATGGTACGTTGTCTAGAAGGATGTGATTCCATTAAGAAAGACTGAATTCTGGAAGTCCAGTATTGTGCTGATGGAGTCAGGCAGTTGAGAAGGAGGCAAGATGGGGAGGGGGTTTGAAGGAGGGTGCTCAGCCATGGAAGACCATGAATGTTGCTGCTAGGCTCTGTGTATAAAAACTTGAAAAGTGCAAGAGGGGAACAGTGTTAATTCATAATGTACTGAAGTCAAAGCCATTGTAACCTGTTGCTGTGCTATTAAGTGTCTCCATGGAGATATAACCACAACTGGCCTTATCCTATAGCATGCTCCAGGGTTTTTGCTACCAGATCCCAGAAGGATATTAGAGCAGAGGAGATATAGATTCAAACAGAATGGTGTGTTGTAATTCTCCATTTTTTTGCTTCACACATCCTGATGCTAGGCTGGGCACGTTTTTGGTTCCCATAAGTGTTGTCACAAGAAGTCCTTCTGTTGCTCAGTCCCCTTATGACAGGAGTCATGTGACGAGTTAATCTTACAGGTACCAGGCTAGTTTTGCGATCCAGATCCAAGCAACGTCTCGAGAAAATGCATACTCCGAAGGCCAAAAGTTTCAGAGTATCCAAACACATTTTCACATCCCTAAATCTTCTTCACTACAAAGCCAGCCTTAGAGCTTGCAAGACTAGATTGAATCATCAACTGTGGGGTTAAGGATGGGAAGTATTTTTTAACAGGGAATTTTCACTAATAAAAGTACTAGGATTTCACTTCAGACAGACGATCCCAATAGCAGTGCTTCCTCTTCTCCTTGCTGGGATGTTAAGATTTTGAATGGCTGGCATGGGAAATTATAGGCAAAGATCTCTGTGTCTATGTGGTTCAAAATGCAAAGTCATTGGTAGTACTTGCATGCAGCAGCTAGTTTTAAATCCATGACATTTTGATATGTCTCTTTTGTTTTTGGTCTTTATAAAACAGCCGATATTCACCACTTCATTTATTGCCATTTAGTTTGTCTTTTTGTTTGCATCTGTTGGTACTTGCCTTGTTACCTCTCCTAATTTCAGATCCTCTTATATGATTTTATAGAAATGGTGCTACACTATTTCCAGTGCCTCAAAATGTCCATTTCCCTGGGTTTTAAGTTCAGTATCTGTAGACATTTTTTCATCTACCATGTTCTCTAGGTACAGCTAGAAAGGACATATGATTTTGGAAGACACACTTCTGTATCAGGAAGCAGTTCCTGTCACTATGTAGAATTCTGGAGGCCTTTTCCTTTGGAACAGTAATTCCTTCAAATTTTCATATAGATCTTGGAAACACGGAGTAAGAACTTTGATTCATTTTAAAATAATCGTGCTTAATTTCCTCATTTTATTTAGCTATCCAAGACCAACATTTAAATGAGAATTGGAAAAAGGAACTGCCTTAGAAGCCATTTTAAAATCTGTAGAACAAGAGTGATTTTAGCTGTAGCTGGAAGGGTACATTTGCTACTTATTTAAAAAAAAAAGTTTTGGAAAAAGTGCTAACAGATTATGGAAAGTGATTATGACTCATTATACCAGCATGAATGGCACTGGTATAGTTATCATTGTGTCTCTGATATAACCTCTAAATTTTAGAAGATTAAAACTGTCCTTTGATTTGAAATTTGGCAAAGTTTTTCAATAAAAAAGTTTTAGCCATTTGGGTAGAAAATATTCAAAGAGAAGGATTTCCACTATTCCCGCACATCCCTATAGTTTAAAAACCTGTTTGTCTCTAAAGGGTAAGGTTTACGTTTTCAAAGGATTGCACCTCAGTTACATATGCAGTTTGCCATTGCTTCACCCGCTGTTCCATTCACCTGCGTGTGTCTGCATCGCTGCATATTTCGCATTCGCAGCTTAAGTGCAACTACTTGAAATATTAGCCTCAATTCCTACCAGCAGCTTTGATTTTGAAAATTACATTTGGATTTGACCTGAAAATGTAGATTTCTAGGCATATGTACATCCAAGGGGCTAGCAATCCCATTTACATATGCCAATTGGATAACTGTGGTTCCTTTGAAAACAACAAGGAGATGCATCTGAAGTGGTTTTTTACCCACAAAAGCTTATGCCCAAATAAATCTGTTAGTCTTTAAGGTGCCACCGGACTCCTTGTTATTTTTGTGGATACAGACTAACATGGCTACTCCTTGATACTTGATACCATGTGGTTCCTATGGAGGCACTTAGGTTTCAGTGAGCACAACTGCTATGCCCCGATCTGGAGATCTTGCCCCTAATGCTTATGTTCTGTGGTCCAGGTCCTCAGCTGACTCTGCTTGGCTCCACTGAAACCAATGGCCCTATATATGGATACAGTGTGCAAGCCCTTGTTCTTGCACGAAATTACTGGCTTTTGCCATTTCTCATATTGTTGCCTTCGCAATTAAATTCTGTGATTCTCTTCACGTTCAGGCCATTTGGATTGAGCTGTAAAATTATGACTGCGCTAAATTTTGCTGATACCAACAGCTAACATTTTGAACCAGGCAAAACTGAGTGTGCAAATACCCCCTTCTGTTTGGAAGATACTTTGCTTACAAAATGCTTCTGGCTTTTGCTCTTGATTTCATTAAATCCAGCCAGTTCTGCTTCAGATTCACTAGAGAATATCTACTGCATTAGTGAGCTGCTTTCCTATTTGTATCAGTTTGGGGATTTTTTTTTTCTTGCTTTCTATGGTTTTTAGTTTAAAAAAATATTTTTGAGTAATGTAAGAAACAATCAAAATGTGGAAACTAGAGAGAAAGCACATGTATGAACATGAAGAAAGAACAACTCCTGAGTGAATCAAATGTGACCCTGAAATGAATGGTTTGCCATTGTATTGAATGAGGAATGGCTTATGAGATTTAATAAATAATGTACTGTAATAAAAAGGAGTATTGGGGCTCTAATTACCCAGTATAGAGAGTACCACTCCAATTTGGGAACGATCTTTTATCAGCCAAGATGTTGCATGCTGATTTTAAATTTGCCTGTGGAGTTCCTTAATTATGTTGAGGGAATAAGATTAAATGAATGGGTCAAATTCTGTCCCAACTTGCAACCCAAAAGCCCATAAAGTTAAGTCGGGGTGCATGAGTATGAATGATGGGAGAATTTAGCCCGCCATTTGTATAGCATGTGATCAAGTTGATTTGTTTACAATGTTAAGTGTTGATTAAATGCAGTATCGTATTTAGAATACTTACAGTATGAAAATACCAAATTCCACCCTAGAAAAATAATCTGCACAGGAAATAATTCAACAACAAAAAAATCAAAATGAAAGGGAATTGTATTTAGTTACAGTGGATTTCGATGTCTGCCCTACTGTAAAATTGTGAGAATTGGGAAATACAAGAAATTTAGGGCTTGTCTACCTATACAGCGCTACCTGTAGTGCTTAGTGAAGATGCTACCTGCGCCTACAGGAGAACTTCTCCTGTCAGCGTGGGTATCCACCTCCCCAAGGGGCAGTAGCTATGTCAATGAGAGAAGCCCTACCATTGACTAGTGCTGTCTACACCAGGAGTTTGGTCAGTATAACTGCATCGCTCAGGCATGTGCATTTTCTTCACCCTGAGCAACGTAGTTATATTGACATAAGTTTGTAATATAGACTAAGCCTCAGTGTGTTTCCTTTGCAAAAAGACGTTTTCACAACTTCAGCGTTAGGTGAGGGGAAGAATTGAAATGATCTTAACAGAGTAACCGAAGTTATACAGTAAGAATGAGCTTCTATTATCCATCAATGCGTCTTACAGGTAGGTGAGATTCGAGATATGGAATTTTATGGTCGTAATTTTTTTTTTTTGGTAAAGCAACATTCTTGCAAACTACTGCATTTCTGTAACACCTGTTGCTTGATTCCTGGCTAATGAATGAATGTCCTGACACTGCTCTTCAAATGGGTTTTCGAATGGCACTGCTGTTTTGTGCACTAGAAAGATTTCTGACTTGTATCTGTTTCCAGTCTTGTAGCATCTTTCACTTATTTATACATGAATGTGACATTTTTAGATACAATGAACTCAAACTTAATAGAAACAAAGTGGCACACTGAATACTCCCAACAGCTCAAGAACAGAAATCTGGAAACACATGTAAGATGAGAATGAACTGATAGACAGAGGCAGACAATCCAACCTGCTTGCCAGGAATAGGTTTTTTAGCAAATTTGGAGAAGGGGTGGTTTAAAGGGGATACTACAAAATCAGAGACCTGTATGTCAAAGATGCAAGTTAGTGCTTCTAATTACTCATTCTGCCTTGACCCAAGCAATTTGTTCCTGCTCTCAGGCATTTGACATGCTCATTGAATATTGGCTCTAGTTTAATCAGTGTCCAGTTGAAAGTGGGTTGTTTTAAAAAAATAAAATAAAAATAAACCTGTTGCTCTTATCTTACCATTGTATGGCCGTTATGCAGACATATCACAAAAGAAACATGCAGAATGATTTGAATTAAAACTCAGTGTCTAAGCCAGGGATTGGCCCAGTAGAAAGGAGAGTGACAGAAGATATGTCTACACAGCAAAGAAAAATCCATGGCTGGCCTGTGCCAGTCCGCTTGGGCTCGCGGGCCGCAGGCTGTGGGGCTGTTTCATTGCTGTATAGACTTCCAGGCTGGAGCTGGAGCCCTGGGATCCTCCCACCCCACAGCGTCCTAGAGCCCAGGTTCCAGCCCGAGCCTGGAAGTCTGCACGATGAATAGCCCCACAGCCTCAGTCCGTGAGCCTGACTTGACTGGCATGGGCCAGCCGCGGGTTTTTCTTTGATGTGTAGATGTACCCTATCCGACCTGCACAGGTTCTGGAACACCGGCTACAGGGCGGGCTTACCTACCCCAGGAGGAAATTCAAGCCTGCAGTGATGAGTCAGAGTGTCAAAGATAATCTCTGTATAAAGGGAGTGTCTCAGAAACTCATGAGATGAGCTTCCTGTTTCTCCCATGCCTAGCAGCTCATTGTTCTGGTCTTCCTATTTCTGGGACCACAGTCACCCTAGAGCTGGTTTACCCCCAAGAAGAGAGAATAGTAGATTCTAACCAGAAGGTTACCCTTCCTTCAATAGGCTACTTTAACGGTACCATCATCCTGACTGCTGGATTGACCCTTCAAACTAGAAAGCTCTCTGATTTATCAGGCGCTTTCCCCATGCAATTTTGCAGTTTCACCTCAACTATGGCCTGGAGGGATCCCTGTATGAGTGAGAGGACAGTTGAGTCTCCATGGCTGATTCAGTCCTATATATATATCTGCTGAGGTTGTCAAGAATGATGACAATTGTGATTATTCTTTTCAGTATTTTCCTCTGGTATCTGGATTGCGACCACAAACTCGTGGTATATGCCACACCAAGAACCGTCAAGAAATGCTTTTCATTTATTGCTGAGCTGGGTTCAGTTTGAGCCTGTGACCCAGAAGTTGTGTCCACTTTTGCTTGATTATAAAACAAGTGGGGTAGCTCAAGAACTGTCATAGGACCAAGTCCCGAAGTTCTTAAACTAAACACCCACTGATGTCAATGGGAATTTTGCCTGTATAGACTGCAGGATTTCACTATATGCAGCTGTGTGCATGCACACAGAACCAGATATTACAAGCCACACAGTATACCTGTGGATATCTGATTAGAATCAAACCCCTTTAACAAAAAGAAAAGGAGTACTTGTGGCACCTTAGAGACTAACCAATTTATTTGAGCATAAGCTTTCGTGAGCTACAGCTCACTTCATCGGATGCATACACAAATAAATTGGTTAGTCTCTAAGGTGCCACAAGTACTCCTTTTCTTTTTGCGAATACAGACTAACATGGCTGTTACTCTGAAACCCCTTTAACAGGCTTCCTTCCCCTTGCTCTTTTCCAGGTAAATTCCGTTGTATAAAAACATCTGCTCAAAGGTTGAATCCAGGCACATGTACAGAGCATAGTTCACTTACAGTATTTCAGGAATTGTGTTTAAAAGCTACATCCATTGTCTGAAATATATTAAATAAAAGAGGCAGGGACTGGCCTGTTTAAATTATATTAATAATAATAACAATAAACATCTAAACCAACACTAAAGGCCAAAGCAATGACCTGAAGGAGACCGATGGAGTATTCTTGTCTCATTTTGTTTCTGTTAAACTTCTTTCTTTCTTTCTTTCTTTCTTTCTTTCTTTCTTTCTTTCTCAGGAAGCATGAGAACACTAAACCGCTCAGATTATAGTTTCTTTTTTTTCTCCCTTTTTTCCTGTTTTCTCTCTTCCCCCTGCCCCCTTGTCTGATCACTGCAGTCGTTTCTGGGGTTGGAGTGCAGATGGGCTGTCGAAGCACCCCCCTCCCCTTTCTCAGCCTAACTCCATCCCCACTGCTCCTTCCCACAAGACTTTCAGACGCTCTTACTCGCCCAGGTAACAAGCTACCTGTTAAACCAACTTGTCTGAGGTGTCACAATATTATTTACCTTTCAAATGATGGAATTTTCTCAAAATGGGACAGGATGTTTCCAGAGATTTTCATCCAAAGGAGAATAAACCCCGGGCTCTTGGTGGTCTGTGAAGCTCTGTGTGACTGGAACTAGCTGCTTTCTCGTCTGTTGGAAATCATAGAGTATTAACTTACAGAGACTGCAGGTGGCATTTCTGTCATTCATTCCTTACACGGGAAAGCACAGCATTGAAAAAAAGTCTCAGATCGAATCTTCTGGGAAGTCTTTCTCCTGTTGTGTTTCATACAGTTTGAATTCCAATGCAGAACTCAGTAATTCTCCAGTTTCGGCTGTTCTGATTATATTACATGGTACGCAGTCTCGTGACATTCTGGGCTAGGTCTTCAAACGGAGGCACCTAAATTACCCATGTGAAATATGCATGGATGCACACAAATAGGCACTTGCAAATGCAAGCTGGGATCTCACAGGGCTGTTGTGAGGAATTAATGTCTGTAAAGCACTGTGAAGATGAAGCATGCACATACGATGTTGCAGTACTTGCCGGCCAACTAGGATCGTAGAGTTTCCCATGTGGCTGTCTAATGTCATGAAAAAATAATTTATTATTGAATGTCATTGTCCCAGGAGGTTTTCAGCAACTGTTTACCACTGCTTAGGATCAGCATTTGCCCGTTTTGACCCTTTCTGGCCTCTACCTGTAGAGTGGGCTGAACCAGAACTACAGATCCAAATTTTCAGGAAAATTTGGATCCAAATGTTGCTCTTAAGGTACATTTCTAATTTAGATTGCTGAGTTTATTTAGGAACATAGGTTCAAATCCTGAAGCCTTTCCCCAGGCAAAACTCCCATTGACTGTGCTTACTCCTGACTTTAGTGGAAATATTGCCTTAGAGTGGACCGTGTATTTTTTCCTGTAAGGAAGAAGTTCCAAACTGGAAAATATTAAACAATGGTGTCAGAGCTATATTAGGAATTTACTTTCCTTTAGTGCACATTTTATGCAGTGTTGGCTAAGCTAAAGATAGTCAAAAAACTAAACATTTTCAAAAGATGTGGGCCAAGTTACTGAGCTTTCAGGTGGAATTCCATGGCCTGTGTTGTGCAGGAAATCAGACTAGATGATAATAATGGTCCCTACTGGACTTAAAATCTGCAAATCTAGGACATTCTCAAAGACAGGTATTTGAAGTTAATGAGCAAAATAGAATTGTTTTTTCTTTAGAATCTACTTAAATATATAGAGATCAGTATCAGTAAGATCAATATGATTCTGATTTAGTGCCTGATCCAGTAACATAAAAATCAACCGATTGGTGTAAGTGGGCTTTGGATCTGGTCCTTCTTGTCTAGCCTAGTACTGAAGGGTTCTTTTATCATTCCACCTCTGATTATCAAACACTAAGATATGCCTATTGTGACAATAAGCTGATAACATTGAGGTATACACCAGCCATAAGCTTGAAAGTGAAAGCAGGAACTGCAAGCAGGTAGAATTACGGGGTGCTGCTTAAGGATGCTAAACTGTTGATTACCTAGCTAATTGTGTCACCAATTAAAAAACACTGTTTTAAGAAAATAAAATACATTTCAAACACCAGAAAAGGAAGCAAGATTGGTAAATTGCCATATTGTGTTTGATACCATGGCAGACGGAAAATAATGTTGTGACATCCCTAAAAGCTGCTTATCTCTACTCATCCCTTCTTGTTCATCCTGTAACTCTTCCAGTTTTCTGCATGGGTCATTATTTTTTCTGTTGTGGTTGACAGTCTGTTTTTTGGAAGGTATATGTAGATCCATCTTACATTTATTTGTGTTTCCATCATATTACCTATATAGTAAACAAACACGTACTGGCAAATTGATAGATGTGTTTGTTCACATATAGAGTATTCTTTCATTTAAAATGCAAAACTGTGCTCTCCCATTATGCGATCTCTTTCACAGATTCACTGTTGAGGTATGAAAATAGGCAGATGGCATGTGAATTTATAAGCCACTGTAGTCTTTAAATTACATAAAATTTTAAATTTGTGCCATAAGGAACACTCCCAACCACTGTCCCTCACACAGAAATGTTCCTCTTTGTTCAGATCTTGCTTTATTGCTTTGGCATCACAAATTCTTTACTTTGATCAATTCTTTGGGAGTTGGTTCACTGCAATATAAATTTTTATCGTTTTAGGTATAAATTCTACCTTCATGTACATGTTGAGTATATGCATATGTAATGGCAAAATTTGGCCTTTAGTATTTGTCAGACGAGTATTGTTCTTTAAGGGAAGGAGTAATAATTATAGCAGAAGCCTGGGGAGTCAGGATTCCTGGAGATCGGTTCTTGATTCTGCTTGTTTTTTATTGTGTGACCTTGGGCAAATCACTTAACCACTCGGTGTCTGTTTAGCTGTTTGTAAAATAGGTATAGTAACGCTGAGATGCACTTACCTCATGGAGTGATTTGCTACTCATTTAACCATTTGCAAAACTCTTGCTACCTTTGATGGAAAGGTGACTGAGTGAGCTCAACATAATGTTTTAAAGTTGATATCAACTCAGACTTGTCTGACTCCCATCTGATGTCCATCAGGAACCCAAAAAGGCCTCCGGTTTCCATTTGTACATGGTGCAGTCATACGTTGCATTTTAGAGCAATTTAAAGCATTATCCATCCTTTGCTAGCCTGAAAGGTCTGCAATTTTATAATTCCTCAAGGTTCATAAGCAGCTTTTGTTCCCAGCTCCCAGCCTGTTAAAGGGTTTCATTTTTCCTTCCAGCCAGACCTTGCCTCAGAGACATTGTTTGTTTAGAGTTCGGGAGTTGTCCTTTGGTTTCTTTGCCAAAACATACGACGTACATTCTGTACTAGTGCTCATGCTTGTGCTTTTTTTTTGAGTGAGTATATTGACAGAGAGCCAGGGATTGTATCTATTTCTAATATTCTTTACTCTAAAAGGAATCAAGAGACCTAAATTTTATCCTCCTCCTGAAGATCTTGAATCTCTTCCAGAAGGAATGAGAGGTTCTAGATAATGTTCTACCTTATTCTGTAGAAAGATGGCCTGTGTGTCCACAAGTCAAAAGAAGCTTCCCATTTCCTGATTCCTCCACCCTGCGAGGAATTTCTTTGTTTTGTGATAGGATGATGCAGATATTTCACTCTGGGCACCTTCCTCTAAGCCATCAAGTCTTCTTCCAAATAGTTCCAAACTGAAACCCACCTGTGCATACAGGTGTCCACATCTGCCATTTATTGTCCAGAGAGTTGATGATGCACATGTACCTAAATCCTTTGGTCTGTTTGTTCCTTGCTTTCTGAGCCCTTAGGTTCCTCCAGAAAAACTGGATGGTCTCCATGAAAAGCCTTTGTAGGCACTGATTTAGACATAGCTACAAACTCAGCTTCTCTTCCCTGGGCAGAACAGAGTCCTGCCGATAATTCCTTATTCTTTTTATTTTTGGAGCAGGCAGGAGCTTATCTTTCTTTTCCAGTTTTTTTTCCTACACCTTTTATAGCTTTTGCCCTTGTATAATAGTCATTTTTCTCGTGAGACTCCAGAGGATGCCATTTCAGATAGCTCTTAAGGGAAGACCAGAGACTCATATATGCCTTACCATGAGTGAAGAATTCCTAGGGGTCTCGTGGTGGATTCAAAAGTCAAGTTTGAGTTAGAGAGTCAATTTTCTAACTAACAGATCATCATGCAAGTGTGTTCATTTTTATTATTGTAAGAATTTAAATGAAATAAAGTCAGTCAAGTCCATGTAATTGTCCCTCTCAAGTTAAGCATCTCTTGCACATTTGAATCCATTGACATAGAAGATATTTGACATATTTAACATGAAATTTAAAAGCAAAAATAAAAGTTTCATTTATACCTGCATTAAATCTTTGAATTTTCATATTCATTGTTTTTTGTTTGTTTGTTTGTTTTTAACTTAACAATGCCTTTATTCCATTTTGAGGGGTAGGTTTCTGACTATGAAAACTAGTGCACTTACTGTGGAATTAACTAACAGTGCACCTAATTCTCCTCTCGTTTACACCACTATAACTCCATTGACTTCAATGGAACTGGTCATTATTTACATCTGTGTGAAAAGGAAATTAGGCCCAAAATCTGCCTAAGTTCTGTCCACATTTTGTTACAAGTCACTGTTAGAAATGGAACTCCAACTCATCCTGTTTCGAGCTGGTCATAATGTTATTCAAGGTCAAAAGTTGATTCTTACTTTGGTATGTGACATCTTACAATATGCATTTGACCTATAGCATGCTGGATTATGACACAGAGAACCTAAATTCCGATGAAATCTACAGCTCTCTTCGTGGAGTCACAGAGGCAATTGAAAAGTTTAGTTTCCGTAGTCAAGAGGATCTGAATGAACCAATCAAGCGTGATGGGAAGAAGGACTGTGACGTAAGTAGGCTATTAATAAGATTCTAAAACAGAGTTTGCAAAATCAGCCTTTGGTTTGCTGGCTTGTATTTTAAGCTCCTTTGTCATGATTTGGAATTGTTTCCTTTGTTTTCTTTGCCATAGGGGTATATTTCCACATATAATTGTCTTGTCCTAAAATCATGGGGCCAAATTCTATAGACCCTTACTCATGTCAAACTCCATTTGAAATTCACTTATCTTGACTTCAGCGGGAGTTTGGACTGTGTAAGAAATAAATGCTAATATTGGATTTCTCGCCTCAGGATTTCTCAACATGGAACATGTATTAAGGCTTATAGCAGAAAAAGTAAGATACAAATCTTCAAAGTGCATGAATTGTTTCCCCCCAATTTGTAGCTAATTCATATAAAGGTTTCATAGTAACTTATGGTTCAAATCACGGAATAGTACCTTACACTGCATGTGGTTTCCTGGAGGTCAGTGGAACTACTTGTGATAAAAGATGTTAGTCATCATGCTTCTTGAGGAGGGCAAAATTGGGGCCATTAATGGTTTTAAAAGCTTCTGCAAGTTAAACTTCTGCTTCTTATTGGGAAAAAGAGACATTTAGGTTAGCACAATGTCACTCAAGTGTATTTTAAAGCCACATATTCTCTGGCCTTTTGGAAGACTTTTTTTTTTAAGTCATCATAACAAATGTTTGGCATTAACTTGTGCTCATCGTGCTAAAATGGAGACCTAACCCTCCATTGCCCCTGGGAGCTGCGGTTTCCTGACATACCTCGTAGAATTTTCAGAGTTGGGCTCTCATTAACCTCTATACAAGTCCTCATTTTTTCAGTTTCACTTGCTGCTTTTGCAACTTTGTTTTCAAGAATATGTGTACCTGAGCCTGCTTAGTGATCTCTTTCTGGGTTTTGCCAAGTTGCAGGATTTTGTGCAAATTTAGGAGTACCTAGTGTCCTTTTATTTGTTGACTTGTGCTCAAGTTTTCACCAATGAAATCTTTTGGGACAATAATAGGTACATAATTCATGAAAAGAGACAATATCAATATTTTAATTAATCTTCAGAAAATTAGATTAGATGCAAAATTTATGATGCTTGGTTTTATTTTAGTGGATGTTGGTATTAAATCTAAAAGGCTGCATCTCTGGTGAGATTAAAATAATAATCTAAAATTCCATTTCTGTTCTGTCTGATCCGTTCAGGTGTCTCGAGATGGTGGAATAGCTGCACCTGCCAGTGATGTACGGGGAAGCAGTGATGTCATGGAAGGAGGAAGGATGGCTCTAGATAACAAAACCTCTCTACTTAATACTCAGCCTCCACGCGCCTTTTCAGGGCCCCGAGCCCGAGATTACAACCCCTACCCTTATTCGGACACAATCAACACCTACGACAAGACTGCCTTAAAAGAGGCTGTGTTTGATGATGATATGGATCAGCTTCGGGATGGTTGGTATCTGATTGTATTATAAGTTCTCAAGCTGTTCATTTTGTTCTGTATTTTACATTTACATGTTTAAATTGTCATGGGACACAACCCTGCAAATGGTTTCTTTATATAAATGTACATCATGTTTTACTCAGGTAAGGGTTCAAATGAATACACAGTGACTGCAAGAGTAACAGAACTTGCATATGAGTTTATTAGGCAATATTGTCATTTGTTTCAATTCAGTTTCAGCTGTATTGTTTTATTCATAACCTCTTCCGGTGCTGGTCCTGCGGCCATTAAAATTAATGCAAATTTTGCTGTTGACTTAATTGCGAGAAGAATTGAACTCCTAAATTGTTGTGTGTGAACTTTTTCTATTGTGTGTGTAGGAACTCCTAATATGGGGAGTGGGGTTTTTATGTGTGTATATATGGTCATAAACAAAAAGGGTTGTTAGAAAAGCATTTAGATTGAAAACGGGTATCAATGGATTCTAATTGGAAACCAGAAAGTGTATAATATTGTCTAGAAGTAATGCTTCATTTTCAAACATCTGGTAATGAGCAACTAAGAGATGCAGTCATTTCATTCATTCCCTCTATTCCCTCTTCACTTGCTATCACCCTATCCAACTTGTTTGAAGTGCTTGAATAGCCAGGCATAAGTTAGAACAGTCCTAAAGAGATCCTAGAATTTGCATGTTCCTGACTAGAGTCTGTTTCTAACCAGTCTTTTGGGGCTTTGCTTAAAATATGGGGTTGCCATGTGTCCAGTATGACTGGCCTGGGTTTGGCACATCCCCGTCATAAATCCTGAAAGCACTGGCAGCTGCTTTTTTTTCCCCAGTGAAACTGACCTGTTTTCATTTGTCCTAGAAGTATCCATTGATCATTCCGATTTGGTGGCTGATCTTCTGAAAGAACTGTCCAACCACAATGAACGGGTGGAAGAACGGAAAGGAGCCCTGCTTGAGCTACTGAAGATCACGCGAGAAGATAACCTGGGAGTTTGGGAGGAACATTTCAAAACCATTTTGCTCTTGCTGCTAGAAACACTTGGAGACAAAGATGTAAGATTCTGGTGTTATATTTAACTCTCTTGTACATCATTTATTCTTAGATGACAGTTTGTCCATGTTGGTTCGGTTATATCCATTGCATTAGCTTTAGAGTGTACTATCTGTATCTGATACACCATCACCTTCTTGCCAGTGGTGCTGTCTGCCCAGTCTCTTTGCATTAGAAGAGGATATTGACAATCCTTTCATGCTCAGTCATCTCACTGATGGATTTTGAGTTGCCTTCAAATGCTTGACTTCTATTCCCAGAGTATTATGCCAGTAGCAGCCAAAAATAATAATAATAAAAACAGTGTTTTAATGGGGAAGAATGGCCTAGGCGTTAAACAGGCTACAATGGCATACAATAGGAAATACAGATGTAGAACTACTGCAAAAGTTTTAATAGATGATAGTTGACAAGAAAGACTATTTATGGCCCAAATTTTCGTCACTTAGATCAGTGGTCTCCAAAGTGGGGTGCGTAAGACCATCCCTGGGGGTGCCCGGCAGAAGGAGCATCGCCGGCACGGCGGCAGCAGCGCTCCTGGACCTTTAATTCTTCGGTGGCATGCTGGCAGCAGCTCGGCTCCCCCCGCTCCATCTTCGGCGGCATCCCTTCTTCTTCCTCTTCTTTTTTTATTTTTCCCCTAGAGCTGGCCCTGGGGATGCGCGATCCAAAAAGTTTGGAGACCACTGACTTATATGACTTCAGTCCCTAATTATGCCCACAAATTAGTGCCATAATCATCTAAGTGACGTTGATTACATTTGCAAATAATTTTGGATATATACTTGTTCACAGGATTGGGGGTGTTTTTATCCTGGTTCAGTACCACTGTATGCTTGTTGTGTTCAATAAGAAAACATCTGAAGTCTTTTTGAATCTGTTCCCCATTTGCAAAATGAAAATATAATTCTGAAGCAGAGTAGATGTTTACATTTTGACAATTATTAATTTACGCGTCACTGTCTGTAGTGTCAGCTCTTGTTGTCATACATCTATCAGAAGACATGGTGATCTAAGCTGAGGACAACTAAATTGTGTTAGCATGTTAATCGTACAGGTGAATAGCAAAGAATCAGGATGTACTTTAATGGTTCAGTTTGGAATTAGTCCTCTGCTCGAATTATAGTTACTGTTTGCAATGGCTGCAATCCAAAAACTTGGTACAACAGTTCTGTAACTCAGGCGGTTGTTCTAGTATTCCCACTAATCATGATCTTTTGCTGTAAACGGTCAGTGCATAAATCAGAGCTCTGGCGGTGTTAGCTGAATGCTTAGAGCCAGGAAAGTAATTTCCATAAAAGCCACAAAAACACGAAGTAGATTCATTGCATCTGTATATGAAACACTGTTTTGAACTGTCACTTTGAAGATGGATAGTGTGAAATCTGCAGAAGTCAGTAAAACAGGAAAGTAAAAACAAATATAATCTGAGCTGCATCATCAGCTCCCCGTGATGCAGGTTTACTGCTTTTCAGCACTAATTTATATTTCGCTGGAGTAAGATATTGGATTTAGCAAATGTTATATTTGTTCTGGTTCTTTCTCCATCAGTGAGAATGCACTTGTCTATATGACTCTTTGTACAGTGGGGAGAGCTCTGAACCAATTCTGCTCTCAGTTGCGTTGATTTTAATCCCTAGTCACTTCACTGGAATTTGTGGAGTGACTCGTGACTTATGTTTGTATAACTGCCAGCAGAGTATGGCCAACGTTATCATTTTGAAGTTAAATTATTTTGTTTCCAACTTGTATTTCTCTTTGGTTAAGCATTCAATAAGAGCCCTGGCTTTAAGAGTATTGCGGGAGATCTTAAGAAATCAGCCAGCAAGGTTTAAAAACTATGCGGAGCTAACCATCATGAAAACACTGGAAGCACATAAGGATTCCCACAAAGAGGTAAGCGATCCATGCTATTTTAACTCTTAAAATAGAATAGGCACTGATCAAAAAAATGGGAGATGACATCGTCAGGGGTTATGAAGTAAACAGATTTGACCTATCTTGACCAAAAAAGCCCAACCCTTAATATTAAAGGTTTCTTAGTGTAGACAGCTTTTTAGCTGATTCTTGCTGCAATGGAAGGAAAAACTCTGGGACCCGGGACAGCATATCAACTGGAAATGGAACTATATCGTATGTAGAGGCCAATTCCTGCAGTCAGCTTTACCTAATGGTAAAGTCCTCATTAATATCAATGGCAGGAAAGACATGCTCTTGATTACTGTGAAGAGCATGCTAACGGCAAAATCCAGCCTGTGTCTATGCAGATTTGTAAGGACAGGGAAGGCAATAGTGAACGCACAGTCAGTGCACAAGCAGCCATTCTACATGATGGGGAGGGAAAGATGAACTTGGACCACAGCGTGGAAGAACTGGTGAATGGACAGCAAAAAATGGACAAAGAGGGCGTGACGTAGAAGGGGAAGTTACGAAGAGAACTGGTGAGTGCACATTCAGCCATGCCAAACATGTGCAGAAGTCCACAGCTTCCTCCTGCAGCGTCAGGTGCCCCACAGCATCCCAGCCATGCCCGGTGGGAGATTCTAAAAAATTAATCATGATTAATCGCACTTATAACAATAGAATACCAATTGAAATTTATTAAATATTTTGGATGTTTTTCTACATTTTCAGTATTGATTTCAATTACAACACAAAATACAAAGTTCACAGTGGTCACTTTATATTATTATTTTTGATTGCAAATATCTGTACTGTAAAAATGATAAAAAAAGAAATAGTATTTTTCAATTCACCTCATACAAGTACTGTAGTGCAATCTCTTTATCATGAAAGTGTAACTTACAAATCCAGATTTTTTTTGGTTACATAATTGCACTCAAAAACAAAACAGTTTAAAACTTTAGAGCCTACAAGTCCACTCAGTCCTACTTCTTATTCTGCCAATCACTAAGACAAACAAGTTTGTTTACGTTGACAGGAGATACTGCTACTTGCTTCTTATTCACAATGTCACCTGAAAGTGAGAACAGGCATTCTCATGGCACTTTTGTAGCCAGAGTTGAAAGATATTTACATGCCAGATATGATAAACATTTGTATGCCCTTTCATGCTTCGGCCACCATTCCAGAGGACATGCTTCCCTGCTGATGATGCTCGTTAAAAAAATAATGCATCAATTAAACTTGTGACTGTACTCCTTGGGGGAAGAATTATATGTCTCCTGCTCTGTTTTACCCGCATTCTGCATATATTTCATGTTTTTGTTTTTTTACAGTGCAAATATTTGTAATAAAAATAAATATAAAGTGAGCACTGCACACTTTGTATTCTATGTTGTAATTGAAATTAATATATTTGAAAATGTAGTAAACATCAAAAAATATTTAAAATAAATGGTATTCTATTGTTGTTTAACAGCACGATTAATCACGATTAATTTTTTTAATCGCTTGACAGCCCTAATTTTAATCCTTTAATAAATCAGCAATGCCATACTCTCCAGTCTCAGATTTAAAGTGTTTCCACACTTCTGTCATTTTCTATACAGAGTAATAAGTTGTAGTTGTAAATTGGTTTCCTGATAAAGCAGTCAGACAAAACATTTTGTTCTGAAGGAGTGCCTTTTATTAGCAGGTTTTTCCTGGTTACATATTTCTCAACTCACCTTGACTCAATGCCCTTGTATTTTTTTCCTTCTGAAACTCCTTCAAAAGTTCACACAAAAATCTGCAATCTCAAGCAGCTCCCTTCTAGCTTTTTTCCTTCATCTTTAAAGCTTTTCCCTCCATGTGCAATTGACAGATTGTGTTGAAATAAAGTATAATGTTTAAAGTTTTATACTTCACACCCTCACATTTTTGCCTGTCTGTTGCATGCACTTGCGATGCCAAAGGGCTCTTTGGCTTTCATGAGCAGGCATTTCACGCACAAGTCTAGAAATTAACAGGTCATTTCAAGAGTGGAAGAAAGCACAGCCCTTTGGCTAAAGTGTTAGGCTGGGAATGAGGAATTTTCTACAGGAAGAGCAGTGTGGTCACAGCCACTGTACCATAGGCAGTTGACACCCATGCTGTACTCAGTATGACCTTGATCTACAGTTTTATGGACAGTACCTTTTTTAATAGACCTAGAAAGTAGACAGTATCTATAGACATCTGCAATACAGACCTTTGAATGACTGCTCAGATGCAGGATGCTGCAGACCACGTTCCCATAATGTTTAAAGGCAAATAATGGCTGCCCTGTATGGGTGCACTAGGTGGTGTCACTGTGGGTGGACTGGTTAGTGCTGTCAGAAGGACAGAATGTCCCACTGGGATGTCAGTAGGGTCCTGGCCCATGTGCAGCGGCTTCCTGGGTAAAGATACAGCTGGGGAAGTGTTCTAGGTAGCTTTACCTGTACCTTGAGGTTGCTGAATCAGTTAAATCTGTGAAACATTAACTGAGAGTCCATTTGAGTATGGCTCAGTTGGTCAAACTCTCACCCTTGGGCCAGAAGGTCATGAATTCCCGTCCCACACTGGAACTCCAGCTCCTACTTGGCACAGAATTTGCAGTGCAGGTCTGGGGGTGGGGTAGGACGTGCTGCACTTTGACACACTCCCAACTCAGTGAGAGGTTAAACTAAAGTTCCTTCTGCCTGTGTTTGCTGGCTGAGGTGAATGTTAAAGATTTGAGGGCATTTTAGGAGAGTAACTGAGAGGGAGAAGAGACTATCTCAGTGGTCTGACTCTCATTCCCCTTCTCACTAAAACAGATTGTAGTGTTAAAGGCGATGTGAGTTATTGTTTAGCATGTTTTCCATGTTACTTTGGGGGTATGTGGAGTATGAAGGTTACCGCACAAAATCAAATCCTCTTCTATCCAGTGTGCTGTGTATACCATCCTTTCACTGATGCTAATTGTATTAGGAAGGTGTTAATGCTCATGCATGTGAAGCTCTGACTGCATTGGGAAGAGTCAGACATGGTTCTTGGAGATTCTCCATAAATTGCGGTCCAAGCTGGGATGGTGTTGCTGCATTTCAGTGGTGGCTGGATTGAGCACTGCATATAGTTTCGGCATCCTTCTACGTATGTAAAGCACTTTGGGGTCTTTTGTAATGGAAGGTGCTATATAAATGGACAGTCTAGTGAGTCTGAACTATTGAAGTTCATGGGAAGTTACTTGCTCTATGAGTGACTAATCTGAAAAATCCGAGGAGAGAATATATTTGGAATTTTGGGTGGCGAATAATCAATATTGCTCAAGAGGGTGTTATCCTATCACGGTCAGGAGGGACTAAATTAGACCCAAGCCCACCTGAGACCGAGAGGGTTGAGTCATGTTCCAACCTGACCCAACCCTGACCCTTCCCCCAAAACCTGAGTCTGTGCTGCCACCGCTTCCTGCGCTGGGGTGGGAGAGGAGGAAGGAGGTTGTCGGCCAGGAGCGCATGTGTACCCCCACAGTGGAATACAGGTAGGGACCACACATCTTGAAGAACTCCAGCTGCTATCCAAACCCACGCCCTGGACCTTCTGAAGCTCACCTATCAAAAGTTGTATTGCTGACTGTCAGTGCCAGAAAGTCATAGAGCTATAGAGAGTGGGGCCAGAGGGACCACCAGATCATATAGTCTGACGTCCTGCACGTCACAGGCCACCAACACCACCCAGCACCCACACCTTAAACCCAACAACTCAAATTAAACCCAACTATTATAGCCCTCACAAAACTAAACTATTGTGTGCCACAGGCAGAAAACAGGAGGGACTGAGGTGCACCAGTGCCTGAGGCCCTTGCAGTGGGAAAGAATTGAATAAGTGAGATATACCCAGATACCAGCAAATAACCCACACCCTGCGCTGCAGAGAGAGGCAACTCCCCCGCACCTCTACCCCCAAGGTCACTGCCAGTCTGGCCTGGGAGAAAATTCCTTCCCAATCCTACAAGTCTCATGGTGTGTACACACATCAGGCAGCCTGACGGTAAAAGCGTCCATGGAAGAATTGTGGAGGCTAGTAAAGCAGATAGCTCATACTCCTATAAATGTAAAAAACGACATTAACAGAATATTAAGGTTACAAAATGAAGCTCTCAAAAGTCATGAAATGACAACTTTAAGATTCCTTATTCAGCCTTGCCTCTGCCCCCTTGTATATGTACTACAGTACAGCGCTGCTCCAGTTGTAGCCATAATTATAATGAATGTAACGATAAGATTAGAGAAATTAGGCTTGATTCTGATTTTTACTTTACCCTTCTTTTATACCAGTTTAACTCCATTGACTTAAGTGGAGTCCCTGTTTTTTACACTGGTGTGAAATAATAATTAGACCCATTGCTACTTAATTGGAAAGAAATATTCAGGGCTTGACAAGCAATTGCTTTTAATTTAAATTAGCTTTTAGTGCTCACAGAATGATGTGGGCCATATTATTGTTGTGATTTTTACCACTTTTTGCTTGGAAAAGCAAAAGAACCATCTTTCTGTTCCCAATTATTTAAAATTAACTCATTTGTTCCAGTAAATTTACTCACCCATGACTAAGGAGAAATGTCATCTTCCATAACCAATACCATTGATGTGACATTGCTGGGGCCCATCATACACTTTAAGGCCAGAAGGGAACATCACGATCATCTCGTCTGACCTCTTGCATGTTGCAGGCCACAGAACCTCACCCGCCCACTTCTTTGTTTCACACCAATAAAATAAACAGAGAAATATTCAATTATCTTGGGAAATGGTTACAAAACATCTTCATCAATTTAAAGGTCAGAAAAGGGAATATTTCTTGCTATTGATTTTCTCTTTGCTTTATCTCTGTAGAACTAAACCTACAGACCTATGAAGTTGATGAATACTTTACCTGTATAAGAGCTGTTAGATGTGTCTTTTCATATATATGAAAAGGAAATGGTCCAGTGCATGAAAGATAATATGTAAAGTTAATCTCATTGGTGGTTTAGAAGAAGAATTGTACTAAAGGCCCTAAATTATTAACTGGCATTTTATTACTTGAGATGCATCATGGTGGCATTTTGATGTTAGAATCATAGAATATCAGGGTTGGAAGGGACCTCAGGAGGTCATCTAGTCCAACCCCCTGCTCAAAGCAGGACCAATCCCCAATTAAATCATCCCAGCCAGGGCTTTGTCAAGCCTGACCTTAAAAACTTCTAAGGAAGGAGATTCTATCACCTCCCTAGGTAACGCATTCCAGTGTTTCACCACCCTCCTAGTGAAAAAGTTTTCCTAATATCCAACCTAAACCTCCCCCACTGCAACTTGAGACCATTACTCCTTGTCCTGTCCTCTTCTACCACTGAGAATAGTCTAGAACCATCCTCTCTGGAACCACCTCTCAGGTAGTTGAAAGCAGCTATCAAATCCCCCCTCATTCTTCTCTTCTGCAGGTGCCAATGTAGATGTAATGATGGAATAATTTGTCCCGCTGGATCAAAATAAGTTGACAGGAACTCTTAAGACACCCTGTCCCCTGCAGTGCCTTTCCAAAGTAACAGTGTGTGTGTGCGTGTGAGAGAGAGAACAAAATTGGTATTTACTCGCTAAGGCGCCAATTCAGGAAAGCACTCAAGCACATGCTTAAATCCCATTGACATCAATTGAATTTCAGCAGGTTCTTGCAGTTAAACGTGTGCTTAAGTGCTTTGCTGAAGTGTGACCTGAATGCAGACACCATTTACTTGATATGCTCTCACAAGACTAGAAATCTTCCACTTACTCTAAACAGAAAATTAATTATGCAATTTTCCCTTCCCTTCGTGGTAGAAATTTAGTTCATGGAGAAGTGACCCGATAAAAATAACTAGCTACTGTCCAAGTAAATTAGGCCCACCCACTGGGAACTTTTAGGCAATGTTTTAAAAAAGTGGGTGTGTAGGTATAATTAAACTTGTTTCTATACTGGCTAATCTGACACTTTCTAGTTACGTACAGTATTAGAATGCCACAATTGTAGTCAATATCAATATTAATGTAAAATGCCAGTTAGAAAAAAATGAAAAAAAAATCAACCTCCATTGTGTGAAAACTCCTAAAGTACAAAAACAGCGGAATTTGTTTTCTAAAAGATGAACAAAAATTAATTCCCACAATTAAGATTTAGTTCAAAGGCAACTTTTCATGCTGAGTTTATAATGACAAAACCAATGGATCCTTCGTTGCCATTTTCATGTTTTGTGGAAAATTATAACCCTGTGACTATATTTCTTGAATGAAGAATAATGTTAATGATTGTAGATCCCTTTCTAACTAAAAAAAATGGGCCCCAATCCTGCAGCATTATATGCATGTAAAACTTACATGTGCGAATAATGCATGTCTGAGGCCCAAGTCAATGTATTTTTTGGGAATGTTGTTAAATTCATGACTAGGCATTCAAACGTCCTCTTAATCCTAGTTGCATTTCCATGCAGGGGAAGGAGCCATCAAAAGTGCCAGCTCCAAGAAGTGAATTGCTTTTAAAGAAATGTCTCCAAATAGAGATCTCTTGAGAGCTTCTCATTTCATCGGCACAAGCAGTTTAATTCCTTTTCACCAAAGTCTTAGGCTATGTCTACCCTACATGCCTTAGGTCAAGTTACTGCGGGGTCTGCACCACGGGGGGTCAACGGGAGAAACTCTCCCGTTGATTTATCTTACCCTTCTCATTGGGGGTAGAGTACAGGGGCCGACTGGAGAGCGATCTGCTGTCAAGTTGGCAAGTCTTCACTAGACCCACTAAATCGACTGCTGGTAGATCGATCCCGGCTGAAGTGTAGACATAGCCTTAGATTTTCCCATTCATAAATACTGATATTTCTCCCCCACCCTCAAAAACAATGTATAAACCCCACCATCCACCCTCCCCCCCCCCCCCCCAGTAATCCACAGTAACACTAAGAAATCCTGGCTTCACATGCCTAGTGTGTGAAACTGTAAAGGAATTTACAAATAATTGTATATTGCTGCAGCATAAGAGCAGACATTGGGTATTCATTCACAGACCTTCTGAATGAAGTATCATAGTGTGAATTGATCCCTATGGAACTCTAACAAGTTGGCAGATTGCCCCTCTTTTTCTAAAACATTTTAAAGTTATGTTATGAAAGGTCCTAGATTGACAATGCCTCAGCCATAGAAAACAGCATGCAATCAGCAGCAGTGCAAGCTTTTTCCATGGTGCCTCACAAAGGTACCTGTACCCTGACAACACCAAAGGATGAGTAGTTCGGTATCTGAGATCAGTCCATCCTTGACTTCTTTGTGGAGACGGATAACGATGCAGTTTTGGGGAGACCGATGCAGCTTTCTGTGACTGATGTGCCCCACAAAGAATGGATTGAGGCTATGCATATTTAAATGAGACATCCAAGCAGCCCTCAGTAACAATGAGAGTGACTAACCACTGGAACAAACTAGTAAGGGAAACGGTGGATTTTCCGTCTCTTGATGTATTCAGATCAAGACGGGAGGACTTTCTAAAGATGTCCTTTGGTCAAACAAGGTATTGGGATCAATCCCAGGGTCATTTGGTGCAATTCTGTGACCTGTGCTATGCAGGAAGCTATAGTAGAAGATCAAATGATCTCTTCTGCCCTTAAAATCTGTTGATCTGTGAACTAGTGGTAGTGTTTTTTAGTCACTTATTGGCCTGCTTGCAATAGATTTGTAGCTGGAAGCAAATGTTGCCAATTCCCTGAGTCCCCCAGTCCTCAAGAATGCCTTTTGTACTTGTACGGGGTCTATTATAGAACAGCATCGGTGGAAGTTTCTTTGTGTTCACTGGCACGTGGAGGATTATTTTGCTTGTGAAGTGAGAGCCCATTAATGTTTTGTTTTGTTTTTTATTCCAGGTTGTCAGAGCTGCTGAGGAAGCTGCTTCCACCCTGGCCAGTTCCATACACCCTGAACAGTGCATCAAAGTGCTCTGCCCCATCATTCAAACTGCTGACTACCCCATTAATCTAGCTGCCATCAAAATGCAGACAAAAGTCATTGAAAGGATTTCAAAAGAATCTTTACATCAGCTCCTTCCTGATATCATCCCTGGATTGTTACAGGTATCTATTAGTATTAATCATCATCATTATGTTTATGTTTATTTTGATTTTGCCTAATGACCAACCAAGAATAAGTCCCTGTCGTGCTAGCAATGTACAAACACTCAGGGCAAAGTATCATTTCTTTCTTTCTAATGTCTGGTTAACAGAATATATGGGAGCTTCTGCAACCTGAATCTGGTGCATTTGGATTTAAATTTAAAGCAGATTTGTAGTTCTCTTTTTAGTCTTTATCATTGTCTTCATACTTTAGTCTAAGGAATGGGAAAATCCAATTCTTCAGTTCAAATTCTATCCTTGGAAACATGTGCATGGCTCCCAATGAAATTAATGGCAGTCAAGCCCCACGCATAACCAGGGGCAGGATTTAGCTCCTGTCTCATACAGGCTCTGTACATTCTAAACAGTGACCCTCACATAGGTAGATCAGAGGTTCTTCTGTCATTCTGCTGAATCACTCAGGACTCGGCTGTAAGCCTGTGTCGGATTCCAAGTAGGCTATGAAGCCCTCCTCACTTCCTAGCACCCTGAACTTTACGACCAATTCATATTTGGACACCTATCATAACCAAATAGGAGCTGGGTGGGGTACAGATGTTTTTTGCCAACACTAAGGCAGGGCATTTATTTTACAATATTTGTGGTTTTCACTTTTACTGGTGACTGTGTGGGAGTGGTAATTTATTTCTCTGCCCACACACCAGGCAGGCAGCAGTGCTGGGCACTGTGGTTATCCTATAAAGGAGAAAGATAGAAATCCAGGGAAAGAGTAAGATAGGATGACATCTGAGAGTCACAAGGATGACTATGGAAAGAAATACATTCTTGTGGGGGGTTAGGCCTGTAAGTTCCCACAATGTCCTTTACACAGAGAATAAGCATAAGAAATGTCTCAAGAAGCTGAAAATAACATTTAATTCCTCTTCAACCTCAAGAGGATTAGAGTGATGTCAGAGCTTTACCCTATGCTATCCTTCCGACACCATTTTTACCATTGCCTGAGCCCCAGCAGTGTTGCCAACTCTTGCAATAGTTGCTGTTTTTTTAAAGCCCCACCTCCTGGAGTCAGGTGATCGCAGGAGAATCTTAGTTTTCATTTTAAAAATGTTTCTAGCGCTCGTTGTGGAGAAGCTTGAAAAGTGACCTGAATGTACCCAAAAGGCATAAAAACTGTAAGGCAAATAAAAAATTATTATTTTTATTTATTATTTTTTGTAATCTCATCATTTTTAAGCCAGTCTCATGTTTTTTTGGAGACTGACTCATGATTTTTAAACTCTTAGTGTTGACAGTGACCTTCTTACCACCTTAGAAATCTACCCTGATCATGCAGATCCTTTTCTCATATTTTTCAAACCACTTTGGGATCCTTCGGGATGGAAGATGTTACATGAACAGAAAGTCATTGTTGCAGTCATTCAGTCGGATAATGTTGGTGCAGTGCTTTAAAGATAACAATGTCAAGTATACTAATAATCAGTATACCACAGTGAAATGTGTGGGAATAGCTCAGCTACAATGACTGTGATCCCTACATCCTAAAAAGCAGAATTAGTTTGAAGGTACATTCATGGGATCTGTTTCCTTTTCAAGTTGCTGGAGAAGGATCTTGCTGTACAAGGCCAGGGTCAGGTTATGGCCTAAAGGCACACCCCTATGGGTTACAGCAGGAGTTCCTCAGGCAGAATTCCAGCGGACTTAGTCACTATTCCTGGGTCTCCGAGGGAGCACACATGCCAATGGCAGTGCTGCCACTGTGTAAATGGAAGCCGCATGCATTTCTGCTGGGCACTGCCAGCTCTCCCCTGTGGGGCAGTGGTCACTCCACAGCGGCCTTGCAGCTGACCCCTGTGCAGGGCATTAGTGAGGGGAAGGCTCTTTGCACTTCCTTTCTCCCCCATTTTGTGCACCCCTGAAAGGCCAGCCAGAATCTGACACTGAGGCCAGAAAAGGTTAGCTGGCACAGATATACCAGCATAGCTCTAATGGCAAACCTTCCTAGTGTTGACACAGCTTATACTGGCAAAAAAAGTGCTTTTGCCGTTATAGCTTCTACCAGTTTCTCAAGTGAAATAAGATCATCTGTCCAAAGCACTTTTGTGACAGTGTAACCGTATCTACACTGGGGTTTTGCCAGAAGAGAAATGTTACCAGAAAATCACCCTCCTAACTGACATTGCTACGTTGGAAACAGTTTCCAGTGGAGACCTGTTCTTACTCTGAATAGAGTAATGAACCATGACTTTTCAGGATAAACGTAAATTACGGTATCGAGGTTCTCCTCCTCTTGTTCTCTTCGAACAGAAGTGCTGTTGGAACACGTAGTGTAAATACTTAAGTGCAGCTAAGGTTATTCTTGATGTCAGAGCATGTTGTGAAAATGAGACTGCAGAGCCCTGTCTCTCTCTCGATTCGTGTCCTCTGAGATATTTTGTGGCTTTCGTTTTTCTTGTAAATTTCAGTCATAGAGCCAGTGAACTCCCTCCTGGCTTTCAGTGACTGATTCACCCTGCACTAATATGTACAGAACCCAAACATTTTTTCCAAGGTAGCGCCTGCGCTCCTCCTCCAATCAATCAATCGTCTTGTCAGTTTTCCCACAGTCTCATGAGGTGAAGGCTTCCGACATCACTGTTACATTTGAAAAAGGTCTCTTAGCCGTTACCTGGAATAGGCAAAAGCAAAAGGCTCTTGTCTCATGTCATTCATCAGTACAACTTCATTGTACAGAGCTTCCTTCATGCACATGTTATCTGAAAAACAATTCACAAAGCTTAAATACAGCTACAACATTGAAATTAGGAAAGAAATGGCGTGGAGAAGTGTCAAAAGGGGATTTCAGATGAGACCAGAAGGAATAGAGAATTGACGAGGCAGGAACAGAGACACCCTGAGCATTTCTCTTTTTGTAAGGAGAGACACAACTAAAGTTCAAAAGGATTCTTCTGTCTGAAAAAACAGCCATGTATTTCAGGCTGGGGTCAGCCTTGGGCTGGGGGCGCACAAAGACCAACTACTGTCACTTGCCTCAGTATGATTCCTGATCTTCTCTCCAGTGCCACATAGTGCTGCAGTTTTGTTATCGTCACTTACCTATGGAATAAAAATTAAAATAAAATAAAAGGAATAAACATAAAGGTCAGTGTATGATAGAATATTCAATTCAGTGAATGTTATCTTGGGCTGTGTTCAATTAGATATGACTTTTTTTAGTCTGGGTGTCAATATTTTTGGCCTTTTTCTGTCTAACTGCTAGACCAACTGGGTAATATATTTTCCATTCAGCAAGATCATCTGGGATAGAGGATTCTTTAAACGTCCTTTTGGAACAAGTTGAGATGCAATCTCAACAGTCTTTACTCAGGCAGAATTCCCACTGAGGTAATGAGATGTATTCTGGAGCAAGGGCTGCATATAATAACCATTGCAGAACGAGCCCTCACATTTAGTGGTCAGCCAGCTCCAGTTTACATGCTAGTCTTTGGCCACGTTTTATTCATTTCCACCTTTCATTGCAAATAACCACATTATAAACACTAAACTGTAACTCCACCCTGGAACAGATTCATCCCTGGTTTAACTTACCTAGTTTCAGTGGGGTTGCACTAAAGATAAGTTAGGTCTTTTGTCTACTGGGCAATCAAATACATACTTAGGTTTTACTTACCCATTTTATTTTTGTCCGTTCCCTCTACTATCATTAAGGTAACAAAAAGACCATGTAATTTATGATTAATGATTAAAATCATTCAAGATTGTTTCACCAGATAAATTATTTCAGACTTTTCAAAATATTACAAAATGAAATCACACACAGTCGTCTTCTGTGTCTGGCTACAAAGTTCAACTTGTTATCCAGCATCTTGAATGTGTCTGGTGTGTGATGTTTTGGATAATTTTCATTGTAATTAATAAATAGAGACACACAACACTAACAAGGAATTTTGGATAATGAAAGTTGCCAAAGGCCTCGTCTGCGCATAAAAGTTGTACTGCTATCCCAGTAATATTTGTACTGCTATACCAGTATAGTTACAGCAGTACAACCCCACTAATGTAGATGTGGTTATACGGGTAAAAAGATTCCTTTGAGTATGTGTGCACGGCAATGGGATTGCAGCGTGGATAGACATACCCGTACCAGCTTTAATCTAGCTAGCCCAGGTAAGAATAACAGTAGAGATACAGGTTTCAGAGTAACAGCCATGTTAGTCTGTATTCGCAAAAAGAAAAGGAGTACTTGTGGCACCTTAGAGACTAACCAATTTATTTGAGCATGAGCTTTCGTGAGCTACAGCTCACTTCATCGGATGCATGAGATACAGTGGCACAGACCCTAGCAGAGGCTAGGAACTCAAGTCTGTACCTAGGACTCCAAGTGGGCTCATACATGGGGCTGCTCCTTCACCGTTCTTTTTAGCCATGCTAGCTAGATCAAAGCCAGCACAGACATGCCTACCCAAGCTGCAGTTGCACCTCTGGTTGCAGTGTAGACATACGCTAGTCCATGTCTACATGGGGACTCCTGGGAAGGTTCAAGTGAATCAAGCAAAGGTGTGAAGTTAATGTGCACATAAGCTAAAGCATGTTAAGCAGCCCCCCATGCTGTCACTCAGGAGTAAAGTGGCTGCAGTTCGCTGTAATTTAATCCTCCTGAGGCAAACTATTTTATTCCCGGGTGAGAGCATCCAGACTGGGTTTAACATGCTTTAACTTACGCGCATTAACTTCCACATCTTCACTTCGTTTGCCTTAACTCTTCTGGGTGTCCCCATGTAGACAAGTCCCTATGGTGGTACAGCTATTTCTGTCGGGAAGGGGGACAAGCTATACCAGTATAAGCACCTTTATACTGCAATAAGTGAGTCCACACTAGGGGTTATAGCAATGTAACTATGGCAGTAGAAAACACCACCCTGTCCAAAATCATTAAACCGGTATAAAAACTGTGTGTAGACAGTGATACAATGGCAGTATGTGCCCTCAGAATGGGAAATACCCGTACATTTAACTCCTGTGCATGGTAAATGTCCAGTTTGTAATGGCATCTCAGGTAATAAGAACACCTTTATTATCATTATTAATATTACACATTTTAATAGTAATACATTACATATTTTTAACATTTATATTGTATTAGCTGACTACTTCTGGGGCCCATTGTGTTAGGCGCTATAAAATCACATAGTGGGAGACCGCTCCTGTCCTCTAGAGCTGAACAGACAAGACAGTAAAATGGTGGGAGGGGAAGTGATTTGCCCTAGATCACACAGCAGGGCCAGGACTTGCTGTCGTGAGACCCAGATCAGTACCTATCTGCTCTAGAAGTGCAAACTGTTATGCGCTTCAGAACAGTTGGTGGGGGGGAGGGTTATTTACAAATTAATAACAAGATTTAGCTTCCTTTCTCCCCTAAAATGCCAAATTTTAATTTGTTCGAAATCTGTGCTGGCCCGTCAGTAAAAATACCAGCCTGCTTGGGTGAACGCTGCGAAACGACATGTCAGGGGTAGCGTGCAGTCCACCAAAGTGGCTGTGTATGTGTTACTCATTGCTGTTCATTGACCAATGATCACTTGAGTGCAGAACTAGCATCACAAGCCATAGAGCTGCAATGGCTTGATGGATAGTCTGAGGTCTCTCCCATGTGTGGACATATGGCTAGCTAGACCCAAGGAGCACATGATGTACTTTCTCAAAGAAGTTCCTGCCTGAAGTTGATCAGAAAGTGTATTGTAATGTAGGTCATCTGGACAGCTGGGCCTGGCAGATATGCACAGGACATAGCCTAGTGTAGTATTCTTTTCCTATTTCAAAATAAATCTGACATGCATAAACGAATTATCTTAAAAAAAATCTTTCATTGTTTGTAGTGTCGTAGCCGTGTTGGTCCCAGACTATAATAGAGACAAGGTGATTGAGAGAATATCTTTTATTGGACCATCTTCTGTTGTCTCTTTTACCAACATCTCACCCACCTTGTCTGTCTTAAAAAGACATGACAGTAATACACAATAGTAATAATTTGCACTTCGATGCCATAGTGGTTTGAGTGCTACAAACAAACAGAGAGATTCCATTTGAGGATTCTAATGCACTTCACAAAACAGCCTTTGGGTCCGATCCTGCCAAACTCATGCCCAGCAGGGACTTTATTACTTTCCCATATCAAGTTTTTAAGGTCTGATCCAAAGCCCATTGAAGTCAATGGAAAGACTTAGGCACTGTATTAGCCAAATTCTTCCTTCCGCTACGAACTTACAACCCAACGGGCATCAATGGGAGTTTCTTCTATATTTGTGAGGGTAGAACTGAGCCCTCAGTGTTAGTTTAATCCCTTTATGGATCCAGAGCTCACTATGAAACTTCATCACTGATGATAGCAGTAGAAAGAACTCAGATCCAGCAAAATACACCACTGAAGGTACAGTTCCTCCCAAGCCTAATCTAGAGCCTATTACACTCAGTGAGGGTCTTTCTGTTGACTTTGGATCAGGCCCTATGGCCAAGCATAAGAAAAGTGTTTACCAGCCCATTAGTAAACTGATCGGAAAAGATCTTGGAAAGTGACCTTTGATTTGTACGACCTTTTTGTTTCTTCTGGTCTAGGGCTACGATAATACAGAGAGCAGCGTTCGCAAAGCCAGTGTGTTTTGCCTAGTGGCAATTTATTCAGTAATTGGAGAAGAACTGAAACCTCATCTTGCACAGCTCACAGGAAGCAAGGTATCTGCACAATGTTACAGCCTTTTGAATATTTTCTGCTAGGTAACTGAACAGTGTGTGCTCTCAGCAACTGAAGGCTTGTCTTCATTGCAGGCTTAGTTCTCTTGAGTTCACTCCTCTCTAGTTTAGCCTTGCCTGATTTAGAGCAGCCACACTGCAAAACAACACTTGAGCAGCACAGTGTGTTTGGATTAGCAGCAATGAGTAACTGAGACCTTACTGGCTTGAGCATTGGCAACACTCAAGCTTCAATCCATGTTTGTGTATGCACAGGAGTCAGATTAGGGGCAACACTCGTGATAGCTTGAGCTAACTGGGCAGGGAAGACAACCCCTCAATCCAGTGCTGTCCTACCTAGAAGAACTAAGTGGCTACACCACATGTCCCTGCTGGCTTGTGTCTTCACTGACTGTGTGGAATCCAGAACATTTCATAATATATAGGCTACAGCCTTGCAGTCTGTTCTGTGTGAGTGGATCCCTGCATCTCTAGAGAGCAACAGGTAAGACCCCTACCCACACAGATTGGAGCCCTGAAAAATGCCAACAATGAATGTAAAAATCCAGGCCTCACTGAAGTGGGAGTTTTGCCATGCACTGCAATGGAGACAGGATTTCTCCCCAGATATTTTCCTGCTATGACATTTTTTTTTATTTTAGTAACTATCTGTTTTCATGTTATCACCAGATTTATACTCTCATCCTTCATGGGCAGATCCCTGCCCCACACAGAACTCACTGCAGGATCCACATTTAAGGGTTTTGCCCTAATATTTCCAGTGAACTTTTGCTGTTTTTCTTTTCTGGATTATTTGATCTTCTCCTAACTTCTTTTATCTTCCAGATGAAGCTACTAAACTTGTACATAAAGAGGGCCCAGACCACCAATAGTAACAGCAGCTCATCTTCAGATGTCTCAACGCACAGTTAATGGAGATATCTGGACATGTGTGTAGACTTAGAAGCAATCAGCGGTGCCTCTCAGAGACCTTTCTGCTACCCTTTCTTCATTGGCACGTCCCATCAGCTAAAGGAGGCCATGCAGATATTTATTGCAATCAGTATTTTAGTCCTTTAAAGCTTTTATGTAGACTCTTATTGGTACTGAATGTAAAGGAAGCAAGGCCTGTGTTGCAGTCCCCATTTAAGAAAAAACAACCATAGAAAGCCATACTTAAACATATTGGTATAGCCAGCTGAAATCTTTACCATATGTTTAGGTTGCAGTGTTTCAAAACTGAGTTCAAATAACATGTTCATGCTTAAAAGTGAAATGAATCCTTTTTTAAGTTAATTTGACACAAAGTTTTGGTTTTTAATATGTTAATTACCTGCTGTATAAACAATTTTTCCTCTGGGTGTAACCATTTTGGCTAGACCCTTCACCTCACAAGTGCTGTGGTGTGTCCCCATTTTATAACTCTGATCTGAAACTCGCCTAAACTGCAAGATCTTGATGATGAAATCTTTGCAAATATTGCCATGCTTCTGGCTTTTAACTCTTTAAGACAGATAGGTACCTTTAATGAGAGATAAAGCTCCAGATTTCCATATGGGCTAAGAATTTCTCTGTAGCTTTTCCTCACCCGCCAGTATTGTCTAACAAGAGCAGCCTGGGTCTCCCGACTTTAACTAACAGTGTTAACATCAGCCCTGCCTTCCACCTTCTTCCATTGCTCAGAAGACCCTGGGGCTTAATTTTAAAGGCAGGATAGTGGGTTTGTCATCAGGACTGCACAGTGGAGACTTGCTAAAGTCTGTGAAACTAGCTGAGAAATCTTTATTTTTGTTGAAGTCTGTTCTGAAAGGATCTGATCTACAACTCTGGTTTGACACCTCTGGTGATGGATAATGAATAGCCGTAATTACCATGGGCCATTCCCCTCCACACTTCTGAACCTCATTTGGCTCAGGAAATGTAAAGGAGAAGTCTTAACCGGACAAAATATTCCTGTAAATTTAAACTTGCTATGGGGCTTGGCCCTAGTATTTAATAAGACAACACCCCCATCTCCTCACACCCGCACACGACCTTGTGCCTAAAAAGCCTGCAATGTAGTTAACCAGCATTTTAACCTCTTCCTCACCGACAGAACCAGAGTACAATCCTGCAAGGCACTTAGCACCTCTGGATAGGTGTTGAGTGCCCTCAGCTGGCATTGGCTTCAGTGGAGATGGTGTCGCTCAGCCCATCCAGGATCAGGCCCCTGTAATAGGGAAGGCTGGGGCAATTCTTTAATGGACTGATCAGCAAGGGGAAAACTTAGAACCAACCCAGCCCCAGTCCAATATACCACATCAGCGTTCTTTACTTGGGTCCCTGCTGTTTGCATGTTGGCCATGCAGAGGGGCGCTCCCAAGCGCTGCACATCCCCTGCAGAGCATCATGGAATCCACGTAGACACCCACCCAGGGAAGGCTAATGCCATGTTGACTCAATGTCCCCCAATCAGTTTGTTGAAAAACCTGATTCTGAGAGGTGCTGAGTGGCCTTCAGCTCTCATTGAAATCAATAACAGTTAAGGCTGCCTCAGGACCCAGCAGAATCAGGCCCCAAAGCAGCAGGTTTTTCAGCCTCTTTCATCCCTTGTGTGACAAAGTGGAAGGGACAGTCCGGCTCCTGGATTTTTCAGGATGGGCCTGATCCTACATTGGCTGCAGGATCAGGCCATTTGTCTGGTGCTCTTCCTGCATGTAACTCCATCATAAGATCATAAGGATCTTTACTAGCCTGTATTGTGGTGTTTCCCCAAAGATTCACCGCAGACTCGAAAATGCCTTCATTGGAGGGAGGCTGTTATAACCTGTGCTAGCCGTTAAAATCCAATTTCCCTTCGCGTGGGCCATTCACTTTCACCCCTTCTGAAGATGCTTGCTAGAGGTTTTCTTCTTCTTTTTTAAATTCTTGTTGTGGATGATTTGAATTATTTTAGTTTAATGTGAATTAATTTTCCCTTTTGAGGAAATACTCAATCAGTATGTTGGCAGCAATGAGCTGTCGCGTTTGAATTTTTAGGGAGTTTTATTTTTAAACTGCTTTCCTAACAGTCAGTATTTTAAAAGTCTCTTTTCCCATCTCAGTTCAGCGTCTTCTGAGGTCCATACCCCAGAAGGGGAATGCAATGTCTGCGTAATTGACTGTGTTGCATGCTTAGTCCTTTCAACTGTTTGACATATCTTGTTCCATCCCGGTTTGCTTTTTGTTTGTTTGAATGGCACACTGTAGCAGATCTATGAGAATTGAATTCCTTCTGAAATGATTTTATATATTTTATAAAATACTGTTAGTATGCACTGAGTGAATGCACTGTAACGTCCATAAACTGACCTACTGCATATGCTGACACTACAGTACGAATTAACAACTCGTCTCTTAGAAATACATGTGAAATATGTTGCTGCTGCTGCTTTGAGACTTCAGTGATGAGCTTGTATTTCCAGATGTTATTAGCATAATTGGGGCTGCAAATCACAGAACCAGGCCTTACTTTCTTAATCAGATACTGTTTTGTTTATCCACAGATGCTCATTAATGTGATACTTCGTTTCATTACACAAGTCAATCAAAGACTGTTCATCCTTTGAGTACTCTAGATGTCTGTTATACCCATATATAGTAGGAGGCATTCTGCTTAGATTATTTATAAATTCATTTGCGAATAATGTACATAGTAAGGTTGGTTTAGAGTTTTGAACATGACCTGGTTTTCCTTTGAAATACTCAAAGGGCTAGCTGTGAATGTCACTTGTATGATCTCCAGTGTTCTGCATTCTAAAAGCTGTTCAATCATATTTTCTTTCGCAAGCATAAAGGTCTCTCTGGCTACAAATCTGACAATTTCCGGGCACCTTTGCAGAGAAGGATCTGCATGTTGGCAAAACATCACTGCGACACTGAGGCAGGTGTTAATGTTTTCCCAGCAGTAGCCACCTACAACAGCTGCCTTTTTCTTGCTGCCCATTATACGGGGCTTCAGTTTTTGGTATCTTACAAGAAAAAGGTTTCTTTGATTTGCCCACCATGCTTATAAAGTCTGACTGTGAGGAACTGTGAAAAGACCAGCACCCTGTGGCTGTGGGGTTGCTTAAATCTCAGACAAGGATGGCCATTCTATCATTGGTTGTACCAGTGCTCCGTGGGCATGAGCAAATCAATTGATACATCCCCCTCACAGTTTTAAGTACTGTAGTTCTCTCATGTAGTGCAGAATTATTGAGGCATGTGGCTTTCTTAAGGTACACTATGTGTGCTTGCCTGGATGACAAGACAAGACTTCTTTTCTATTGCTTATTACTAGCTTACCAATAACCTGTATAAGTAACGTAACTCGCATCTTTGTCATCTAAATCTTTTCCCCCTCCTCATCCCTTTATTTATCAAGCATAATATGACATATTAAGGGACAGAAAATAAAACTCTGTAGAATACAGCAGGACTTTGCTAACAATAATGTTTTAAATGGGAAGTAAAAACTGCTCTGAAAAATGTCAGCCATAAGAAATGATTTTGTTGGCACCGTGTTCATGCGCATGTATTTTTTTTTTCTTTTTTTCCTTCTTTTTTTGGCTTTTGTCATGTTACATCCATATCTGTATTTATATCTTCTTTGTTTAACTTTTGAGTGTATCATGGCAAATGTACAGATGTTTTTTGTTAACATTTATGTGATAGAATTTGCTAAAAAAAAATAAAAATAAAACCTTTTGAGTTTGCCCTAGAATAAATTAAACTTAAGTTTAATTTCCTGCTGATCCATCTTTAAATTACTGTTTGATACCTACATCTCATATCTGTGCATTCAGATGGATAGACTGAAAGCTTTTAACTTTCCTTTGATAACAGCAAATGTTGATATTATTTATATAGCAACATCCCCACGCTAGGCATTTTACAGACAAATACTATGACAGAGCCTCTGCCCCATAGATCTTACAATTGCAGAGCTTGGACCCCATTCCAAAGGATTGTGGGATATTGCCTGGCAACTGTCCATCTCGAAGGACGACGGTTTAAGTGCTGAAGCAGTTCAGGAGCCGTGTTGTAGCATCGCAAGTGACTAAAAAGTCCAATTCTCAAGTCCTTGTCACAGCTAATGCAGGCTTAAGGCGAGGGCCAGAAGATGAAGCCAGGGCACTGCTAACGCGCTGTGGCCTGCTGTACTTTCTTCTCAGATTTCTTTGCTTTCCCTTCTCTCAACTCCCTCTCTTCAGCCTCGCTGACTCCCTGGTGCAGTGCAACCTGTTGCTAGCTGTATCTTCCCAGCTTGTGGTGGTGATGGTGAAAGTTTTCAAGTCCCTCTTGCAGATGTCCTTAAACCTTAGCCTAGGTCAACCCAGTGGCCTTGGAGCATCCCCACGGTTCCCGTACAGGAGAAACTTTGGGATGCACATACACACACTTAAAGTCAGGCACATGTTTAAGTGCTGTTCAGAATTAGGGCCTGGAGTCTGACTTTGACCCTGAGCTGGGAGTGGTCTTTCAGCTGCACCCACAGGAGTAGCCCTGGGAGGAGCTGTAACTCAGAGAAACCTGCTTTCCCTTTGCTCCCAGGTTGGGGGGTGGGAGGATAGTAACTTACTACTGGTCCATACCGGGAGTAAATCGCTAACCTCTCTGCCTTCCTGCCCTTGGCTCAGCTACTGCAGCCAATGACTAGGGAGAGGGATGCACGGCCGTCCCGTTTCCTGCCACTTCCCATCCACCTGCTTTGGGGAAGTAGTAAGTAGGCAAATAGCCCTGCTTACTGCTATGTGCTAGCCCCAAAAGCTTGGTATCGTGCGTATGGGTGGGGGGAGTGGGGGCAGGAGTTTTTACTCCCTTGTGTGGATGCATAGTCCTATTTACAGTTTAGCCCTACAGTTATTAGAGCTTTAATAAGAGGCTCTGGAAGAAACTGAATTAGTTCAAGCACAAATTTAGTTGGGGCATTTAAAAAGCAGTATTGCCGACCTCCAACATTCAAAAAACATGTCAGACCCACCCCAAAATCAAGAGGTTGGCTTAAAAATCATAAGATCTAATGAGAATTATAAAAGTTGGGTTCTTTTAATTTACCTTCTGGTTTTTGAGCCTTTAGGGGTCAGCTTGTCCAGCTTTTCTCCACAACCAGGAGAGCTAGAAACTTATTTTTTTTTCTGTTTAAAATGAAAGCTGAAATTCTCAAGTAATCACCTGACTCCAGGAGTTGGGTCTTCAAGAAAAATGCCAAATATTGCACAATTTTCAATAAAATCACAGGAGTTAGTAACAATGCAGAAAGGTTTTTGCAAAATATCATGGCACTAGAAATGTTTGCAGAAAAAAAATTTTTTAGAGGGTATTAGGGAGAATATCTTCTCATGTGGCTCTAATGGCCGAGAACAAGGAAGTGAAACTGGCTGGTCTAGTTTTCGTTTTCTAAGCTGAGTTAATTGCAAACAATAAGAGATCAGACAGTGTAAATGGAGCAAAGGAAATCACAGTTTGAAATTCTTTCCATTTCTAATAATATCAAGTGTTAGTAATAACAGAGGTAAACAAAATTGTTTAAGTGTATAATTTTTGTCTTGCCCATGTTCCTTTAACAAGCTCAAACATCACATATTGGCTATCAGTGGATTTGAGTAGAGAAGAGATTCATATTTCCTGCATGGGAAGAGAGTTTTGATCTGAAATAAGGAATGTTGTCCCACCAAAAAAACCAAACAAACCGAGTAACTAATAAAATAATATAAATAAAATAAAATAAAAAAGGAATAAGTAAAGAAGTTGAAGAAAGGGTACGGGGGGAATCACATCAGACATTTTCAGTGAAGGCAGCAGTTAGATGCTGAGTTCCCCAAAACGTTTGTTCACTCTGGATGGGAAGAAAGTCAGCACAAGGCCTATGTGTCACTTAAATGGGACTTCAGCTTACCACAGGCCTTCTGCCCTCGAGCGTGGGGTAGATTTCACCCCGACTAGTAATTTATTTCTGATGCATCCATGTAGTGCCATAACAAAGATTGAAAGATGTGGTTGCTGTCCAGCAGTGGACTGTTCTCATTCCTCCTTGCATTTCTCCGGGTCTCTGGTGTCCAAAGACACCCATCCAACCTCCATGCAGTGAGACGCAGGGACCCCTGATTTTACGGTTGTGCCTAAGGACCAACCAAAAATTGGGCCCCATTGTGCTGGGGACTCTACAAACCCAACTTTGCAGACAGTCCCTACCCTGAAGAGTTTACAGTCTAATACCTGACATGTTCCACTCCAATATCTCTCTTTCCTTGCTTCCTAGGGGTGTTGTGACCCATCTGTATACCCCCTTCCAGGCCTCACAGAGGGGTTGTGAGGTGTAATTAGTGTTTTACTGCTGCTTTGAAACCCTTGAATGAAAGGAGCTGTCGAATGTATTAATCTGTAGGAAGCTGGCCTTGCCTTGCGTACCAGCGCTTTTATTTTTCATCTCTCCTGGCTTTGAAGGGAATTCTTATCGCTGATGGCTTGAAAGTCCTGGAGACCGAAATCCTCCCGCCAGAGAACAGATCTGGCACAGCCAAGGGGAGTTAGCAGGGTTTCACCCAGAACCTTTGCTTAACTCTGCCTAGATAGACTTTCTCCAGGAGCGAGTGGGGTGTTCAGCGCCATTTAACCCGTTTCTCTGCTGAGAGTGCCAGTACCAATACAGGAACCAGTCTGTGCCCCCTTCTGCCCACGGGCTACTCAGCTGACCATCTCTCGGGAGGTGCCGCAATGCAGCGGAGGGGGCTCAGCATCCTGCAGGGCTGAGTCCTCGGATTGGATATCCTGATCATTGGAGTAGTATGTGGGAGCATTGAGCCTTGTGGCTGTTGTCCTCTGTAATGTGGCTCAAATCTTTTTCCCAAGGGATTTCCCAGTCTGGTTTTTCTCTAGCTGTGTCAACAGCCAGTTTTATAAGCACAGGGCGGGTAGCATTCCATTGATTCTGTCAGATCCATGTCTTTGCAAATTCTCAGCTCCTGGGTCAAACTGGTCTTTAATCCCAGAGGGTTTCCATAAAGCTCTGAAGTTTGAGGCATTACAAATTGAGCAGGAGGCAGTGCAAGCTAGAGATGCAGATTTCAGCTAATATGTGCCTAAAGCAGTCAGCACTTAGAAGACCCTTTGTGTTTTATTCAGCCTCTTGGGCGCCCAGAGAGAGCTCCAATCTATTCACAGAATGCAGGGAAAAGGGACTGTTGTTAAGCAAGAGGTTAGGTCAGCTGTTTGGACTTCCCTTTCCATCTTCTCTCAGAGGGAATCTCTCTGCTCCAGACCTGAGGTTACCACTTTTTATCCACTCCAATGTGCCACTCAAGTGCTCAGAGCACCACAATTAAGGGTATGTCCTAGCTTCCACCAAACCCCCCCTTTCTACTAGTTCCTAACTGTGTCCAGCACACGGAGCTCCCATTTGGGAAGCTTTACTTTCCTCCTTGTTCCTATATGGTGCCTCTTTACCATGGATATAGAAACTGTTGGTGACTCCAGCAGCTTCTCGGATTCTGCTGGGGACGGTGTGACAGCCCTGGCTGAGTCCTTCCCTGTGGATTGGAGCCAACTCTTGGACCCCATGTGCTCCCAAGACAATGGCACCTGAGCAGCATCCAGACAGTGTCTCTAGTTTGGGGTCACTCAGCCAAATCCAGGGGTGCAGATGCTCTGCTTGGCACCACTCTTTGGGCTGTTGGACCCAGGGTGCAGTTGAGCTAGGCCCCAAGACCAGTGCTAACCTCCAAGTGTCCCGAGTGGCTTATGCTCCCCAAAGCTTCACCCTTGTAGGCACTCCAGTCACAATGGAGAACTGTCATCGGAGTGCAAATTTTGGCCTAGCCTCCTGGCCAGCGCTATTCCACTCTGTGCTAGTTACACTTGGCCGCTAACTCATATTTCAGTTTTGTGGCGCTCTGCACTCAGGATGCTCTGAAATGTTTAATAACCCAGCAAAACGAGGACACCCGCATTTTAAAATCTTGTCATTCTGACTCCTTCCCCCACACGTCAATTCCATGGCGAATGTAGCAGCCAGGTCTCGCACAATATCAGCTCTGCAGGCGTGATGTGACAGACTGACACGGAGAGATACATAGAGAATAACTCCAGCCTACATCAGACCGGCCGTCTGTAGCACTCTCAGAAAAAGATTCCAATGGGAAGATACAGAGCACAAGCTGTGGGGATTGAAGGTACTAAGGGCTGAGGCAATGTCACTAAATTCAGTTAAGGTCTTTCCATTGGATCAGGCCCAAGGGAGGGAACCACCGGCCACAGGACCATGAACACCAGAATTCCCACTTGTTTTTAATGGCATAAAGTGCTGATTTTGAGCTCCCGTTAATTGTTGAAACAGCAGTCACCAAAATCAGATTTGTATTGAAGCAAGTGTTTTTTTAAAAAAAAAAAGGAAAGTGGTCATCAGAATTATTTGAGTTTCAATGTCTCTCAAAACAGTCTAAGCACAGTGTTAAAGTTGAGAATCCCACGTCATTTCTAGGTATTGTGGTTTTCCTGGAGCGATCCAAACACAAATCTGTCAGTCAGTTCTTGGAACAGGAGCTTTTTTTGGCACTGGTCCAAGACTTTATAGGGCAAGTTCTAGAACTTGGCCCAGGATCACTTTAGATCCCTAATTATGCCCTTATTTATGCTGGAATGACTCAAGGATGTGAGTGCGTGCGTGCAAGTTGGAATTGGTGGAATTATGGATGTACTGGCAAGTTGGACACAAGACCAGATTGCCTGTTATGATTTGTATGGTG